TTTAAAATAAATAAGTAAATAAATAAAGTACTGACTTCCTCTTAACCTCCTCTGCTGTTGCAGGATTATAATCATGGTGAGGTGTGATGCAGCTGCAGGAGGTGGAAAAGACAGGAACCAGTGGGTTCCCGCCCCTGCGGTGCTCATTCAGAGACCACGAACAGTGTTGAGCTGCATGGCTGTCTCTGTCTTGCACCATTTAATGGATCAAACATTCAACATGCCTCTCCTGAATGACCTCTTGCCCTCCAACAGTCTATCAACTCCACTAACAGGACACTTTAACTTTGCAAACTCATTCAAAACGTTGTCCATACACACCCCTTGTCATCTGTTTGTACCACTTTTCCATATCCTTTACCTGATGTTACTGAATTCATTGGGTTTAAGGCATATGAGCAAACTTAAGAATTTGTGCTAAGTGGGGATAAAGGAAGTTCATTTCATCCATGCACCCTGCTCCCCACCCCATTTCGTTTCTAAATTAATTTTCACCCACCTTGAGGCATGGGTCTTTCTGAAGAAGTTTTAGGTTTGCAAAAGGCATTTGGATAATGACTGGTGGATTATAAATAAAATACAAAATAAAATTGGGGCATTGAACAGCATCTGCAGCTGTGTAAAACAATGAACGTGTGGGGCTTCCCTGGTGGTGCAGTGGTTGAGAGTCCGCCTGCCGATGCAGGGGACACGGGTTCATGCCCCGGTCCGGGAAGATCCCACATGCCGCGGAGTGGCTGGACCCGTGAGCCATGGCCACTGAGCCTGCGCGTCCGGAGCCTGTGCTCCGCAACGGGAGAGACCACAACAGAGAGAGGTCTGCGTACCGAAAAAAAAAAAAAAACAATGAACGTCTGAAACGTTCTGGTGTGTAGGCACTTGATCCTCCTATGACTTTTCTGGGGGTGGCGGTGGTGAGGAGAAGGGACAGACGTGGGGAGAATGAGGGTGGAAAGCCAGAACAGGAGAATCAGCCGGATGCCAGGGGAATCTCTGCTGAAACTAAGCCCCCAGATCTTTCACATTGTACTCTGAACCGTGTCATTACGTGCCTGTCTTCGAAGGGCCCGAAATCAATAAAAAGAAGTTCAAAAACTGCTCCATAAGCAGCTGAAAATCTGCCTTTCACTTTTCTTTCTCTGCACCCTGAGGAGTTCTAAATCTTCCTTCATTCCAACATCAAGCCTGAGATGCCAGGCTCCCTAGAACTGTCTTTTATTCTGCATTATTTCTGCAACGTCCTGCCAAGCATCGGTGGGTCTTTAAAGAAACTGAGAAAAGGTAGCGAAGACACATCCATATGGCAAAGACATGAGGCACAGGGAAGGCGCACATAAATCAAAGCCAGAGAGAAGCCTGCTAGCAACCTGGAAATCAAATTGTGTCGGGGCTTACGTGGAAAAAGAGATCAGAAGGGCACTGAACAAGAGAGAAGAAAGACAAGCAGCCCCTACCAAAATTAATGAGAGGCAGAGGAGGCCTGGAGAAACAGCCCGAATGAAAAGACTCTCACACTGCTTAAGGATGGATGAGCGTTTCAGCAAGCGATATCGACTCCCGCCTGGATAACGCAATGGCTGTCCATCTCCACTTCCGTCTTTGTGTGTTTCTCCACTCTCAAACCAGGGCTAGAGGCACAGAAAGATATGAGGGGAGGAAGGAGACGTGAAAGGGATGGGAGAGCAAGTGTAGGAATTTAGATGAGCATGGAAACCTCCATCGCAGCCCATCCTTCAGGTGACCCCCAGCGCCCAGTCCCAACTTTGTAACTGCTGTGCTGAGCGCGAGTGGGGCTGGCAAAGCCTCTCTGAACTAGGTTAATGGTACCTGTCTCACAAGTTATCCTGAGCTGGCATAAGTAATGCGCTAAGTGCAGGCACTGCCAGAGTGCGTGTCTTCATAAAGAGCGACTGTTATTAAATTAAAATTTTTGTTTTTACAATTTTCAAAGTGCTTTTTTAAAAAATTGAAGTATAGTTGATTTACAATGTTGTGTTAGTTTCCGGTGTATGGCAAAGTGATTCCGTTATACACATACGTACCTATTCTTTTTCAGATTCTTTTCCCTTGTAGCTTATTACAAAATATTGAGTATAGTTCTCTATTAAATAAAGTTTAGAAGCAGGTGGAAGTTGTCTCTGAAACCTTCCATTTTCATCTGTGACGTTCACGCTCCGAGTGCCCTCCTCGTTCCTTCTCCCAAAACCCTCTACTCCAGGTCTTTCCTCTACTCCAGCTCCTAGGCTGGGAGGGAGCAGTCTCTTTATCTCTTCCCAGTCAAACCTCCCATCCTGCCAATGACACTTCATCTTGGTAAGAAGGTGGAAAAGGTCCTCCGGTGGTGGACTTTGGCCCATGATGATCACCTTGGTCAGAGTTTTTGATCCTGCATGACTCAGCCTCAGGGAACATGTTCTGTCTCTTCTGCAGCACTTGGCATGACTGGGAGGATGGACACAAATCCCAGTGTGCAAACTCGAGTGTTCTTAAGGATTTAACTTCCTTTTATTTCTCAGCTTATTTCTATTTCAAATCTCCATTCTGCCTGGTGGCAGAAACTAAGCCAATTTGGAATTCTATTCCCGATCCCTGAGTAATAAGCATTTGTTCATTTATAACACCAAGGCTCTGTGCTTGGGCAGTTGTGGCCATCATTAAGCAATCATTGCTCAAAAAGACTTGCTAAAAAAAAGAAAAAAAAAGACTTGCTTCTTCCAAACACATGGGAGGGTTGTACTTTCCTGCACATCTGAAGGTAAGTGCGGTGGTGTGACTTGCTTTGGCAAATGAATCATGAGACCAAGTGCCAGTTCATGTTTCTCCCATCCATTCCTTTTTTTTTTTAATTTTACAAATGTATTTATTTATTTTTGGCTGCATTGGGTCTTCGTTGCTGCGCGCAGGCTTTCTCTACTTGCAGCGAGCAGGGGCTACTCTTTGTTGTGGTGCGCGGGCTTCTCATTGCCGTGGCTTCTCTTGCTGTGGAGCACGGGCTCTAGGCACACGGGCTTCAGTAGTTGTGGCACGTGGGCTTAGTTGCTCCATAGCATGTGGGATCTTCCCAGACCGGGGCTCAAACCCATGTCCCCTGCAGTGGCAGGCGGATTCTTAACCACTGTACCACAAGGGAAATCCTCTCCCATCCTTTCTTTTTCCTCTGCCCCAGAGACTGGCAACTTTCCAGATAGAGGCTGCTCCACTGGGTCCCGAGGCAAAGACAGGGCTGACTCAGCACAGAGTTTTCAGCTGATCTGCAGTAGAACAGTAGTGTGAGGGAGAAATGAGGCTTGGTTGTTTGGGGCACATAGACTTGTTTTTGTTGTAGTTGTTTTTGTCACCTCAGCATATTCCAGTCTACCAGAAGGGTACAGGTGACAGCATCCACCCGAGATGTCCTCGTCCCCACCTTGTCTTCAACTTGTCAGTCCACACCTGCTGAGTCATCTCTGTTCCCCACCTCAGGGCCTCCTCAGGTCCAGACCTTTCTCAGCTGTTTCCAATCCCCTCTCAGAGGACAGGGACAAGTTTGTTGTCACAGCACCGCACTGGACCATGGGAAATTCTATGAGGTGTTTAGGTCCATCTGCCCAGACATTCCGTGCCACCCAGAGTCTCATGAGTGACCTGGAGTTCTACCAAGGAAAGGAGCAATCCTTCCCACTATTCCCACTTCTCCTCCAGGAGGCTTTGGCACACCCTTTTTCCCAAATCCCACTCTCTTCTGGCTTTTCCTGAAGCCCTACTTGCCCTATCCTTGCCCTCAAACCTGGGGGACCTTAATCTGGCCTCAGGTTAGAGGCCTTGTTCCTATTCATCAACTGCTCCCAAATCTATTATGTCTGCATGGTGTTCTTTCCAATCCCAAGGCTGGGCTTTTACAAATTGAAAGCCAGGAATTGCCCCTGTGTGTCTCAGAGTTCTGCCCCACCTGCCTGAATGGAACGAGGACCAAGGAAATGGAGTGAGTGGTGGTGTTGGTAGAGATGTCAATTGATATTTCAAAATATTATTCTGTACATAAGTGATCTGTCCAATTATGAAGCTGAGAATTAAAGGGGGCCTCACTCAAAGGAATCCAGTGTGTGACTATTTTAAGCCACTGTGCAACCTCAATGGTCCTGCCTGTAGATGCCTTTGTATAATTGTTATCCTTGCAAAATTTCTCAGTGTCAAAGCCCGAGGAGGGTCCTGGGCATGGTGTCAACCCTACAGACTGGAAGATCTTTGAGGGCCCAGACCCTTCCTTCCAAGTATCCTGCAAATCTCCAGACTTTAGGAAGTTAACGAATACAGGAAGCAGTTAACTAGCAAATGACAATGAGGATATTCTCATCACACTTCAGCTCTCAGCCGCAGGATGTGCCCTGTCTCGTGCCAGCCACTTAGATCCTGAAAAGGGCCTCCCTTTCCCTCCTTGGTGCATTGGGAAAACGCAAGATATAAACGTAGATCCCACGGGTTCTCGTTAAGAGAAGACACAAAGCATTTAAAAGCCAATACCTGAGTGGGATAAAGCTCAAGTAATGACCTGGGATCACATGAGAGGCCTGGGATAGGATGGGTAGGATAAAGCAATTTGTAAAAAGGTGACGTCCCTAGCTCACATCATTCGCTACTTGCCGACACTTCATTTTTCTCCTAATCTAGGCAAACCACTATGTTCTTGGTGTTGTAACAAAAAGGAGCAAGCTACACCACTCCTCGCCTCCTTCAAACCCTTTCATCTGGCCTTGCAAGGGAAAAAACCCTCAGAGCGCGCCTGAAGGTTTAGAGTCCTTCACCCCAGAACCAACCCCTCGGCTCCTCCCGGGAAGGGCGCCAAGGACCCGGGGGCGGGGCGGCGCGGGGGAAGGGGCGGTGCGGGGGGAGGGATCAGAGGCGGTGTAGGGATATCGGGGGCGGGGCTCGGGGGTGGAGCAAGGGTGGTTGGGGCGCCAGGGGAGGGGTTACGGGGGGCGGAGCGTCGGGGCGGGGCGGCAGGGACCCGGGGGCGAGGTGGCGGGAGCGGGGCTGGGTCCGGCCTGGGAGGAGTCCGGTCGAAACCTGGGCCTGCGATCCCCGACTCGGTTTTGCCCGCTGCCCGGGGCGGTCGAAGCGCAGCGGCCCGGCTCGCTCCCGCGCCCCTCGGAGCGCCCAGAGCCCGCGGTCCTTGGCGTCGAGCTCAGCGGTGTCCGACCCCGGCGCGTCTCTGGCCGCCATGGCCGCCGCCGCGGGCCTGCGGGCCTTGGGGGCGAAGGGGTCGGGCTGGCTCCGGCGCGGCCCGTGGCCTCCGCTCACCGCCGGCTTCTGCAGCGGGGGACCGGCCGGGGTCGGGCGGCCGGAGCCGGGGTCGCGACCCACCAGCACGCGGCAGCGGGACGGCCTCAGGTCAGCGGCCCGCGGGCGTGCGGGGCTGTTCCCAGGGAGCGTGGCCGGCGGGACCCGGGAAGAGAGAGGGGCGGAGAAGGCCGGGTCGCAGACCGCGCCACCCCACGCGGAGTACAGCGAGGCTCGGTCAGTGGTCAGCTCCGCCCGCCAGGAGCCCAGTTTATCCATCACAGCGGATCGGTCCGGCGGAGAAGTCCGACGTGGAGGGAATCCGCGGATGCTGCGTTTACAGACGTCCCTTGCCTGGGCCCAGTGGCCTTCGCGACCCTGCAGGACGCACACGGAGGATTTAAGTGGGGCTACCTGGGAGGCCTCCAGCACTGCCTTTAAACCCAGGCCAAGTCGACAGTGCAGTTGGGCTCAGCGTGGGCAGCCTTGTGGGAGGCTGCACCGCTGCTGTACCTTTGAGAAAGCCCTTCAGTAAAGGGTTCTGTGCCTCACAAACTTGACCTGGCTCCGAGGCGAGGTCAGGCATAGCCGAGCTGCTCCTTGGCCATCATCTAGCAGTGCCCACGTGAGGGCAGGTAAATAAATAGGCTAAAGGACACAGGGTACTGAGCTCTGCCCTTTGGCTCAACAAGCCTAAAACCCTTTTACAAAAACATACCAGGGCACAAACTTGAAAGTGGACGGTGGCGTGATAAAGGTAGAAGGCCCCAGCCCCATCCAGGCCTCACTCTGACGTTTGCCTGGCCAGGGCAGGAGTGCAGAGGGAGGCCTAGGTAGCGTGTCTGAGTATTTAGACCTTACAAATCAAGCTGTGAAATATGTTTTCTTCTCCTCCCCTCACAAGTAGGCCGTCATAAGACCTGGAAGGCTGTGTTTGAATTTACAATCCCCAGGCTCCTAGGAACTCCCCCAAAGCAGGGGAGAGCCTGCAGCTTTGTTGTTTCCTTCTCCATCTCTCCCTCCTGCTGCTCTGCCAGGGCCTTGGCACACAGGTCTGCAGACACCCCGTGCAGCATGCCCACAATCTGTCTAATCCTTCACCCCCTACAGACAGCTGCTCACAGCCACCCTCTGGGCCTAACGGTTCCCACTGCAGAGCCAGGGAATTCCAGGGTTTCAGGTGACTGGGGCGGGGTGTGGAAGAGGGTGGTGATGTCCAGGTGGGCACATCCCAACTTCCCAGTGGACTCCTTGCTCACCTGGAGGGGCACCGCTAGAAGAGGGCCCGGGCAGGGGCCCTTCTTGCCCATTTTCAAGGGCACTTCTGTTTTTGCAAATCTGGCCCATTTGGCACGGCAGCCAGGCAACAGAAGATCTCACTGATTCTCCAGAGTTAAACATGAATCAGAAGAGGGGATGGTGGGAACAATCTATCATACATGCTGGGAATGGTTTAGTAGCAAGGAAGCCCGGAGGCCAGCGCTAAAGCAGAGCTATGTCAGGCACTAAGTGGGTGAGCTGGAGCAACTCACTCAAGTGTCCCTTTTCAAAGCTGCTTCTCTCGGTGACAGTACTGCTGTGTAGTGAGGGCCAGCTCAGAGTTGGGTACTGTGCTCGGCGCTACACCTTATCCCAGCCCTTACTACAGCCCACTAGGTAGATAACGCCACTTGACAGGGTTCAGAGAGGTAACAGCCTGTTCGAGCTCACATGGCCAGGAGGTAGGGTTGCCAGGAGTCAGAGAAAGGCCCATCTGCCTCCAAACTTGTCCTCACTCTTGCCGTGCCATCTCAGGGTACTTGCCACTTAGGTTTAAAAGAGATGCCAAAAAACTAGACGAGGTTAAAATCCACAGCAGTGGTGGAACTGGCCGTGAAAAACAGAAATGCTCTTTTTGGTCATGAATTCAGTCAACAGATACATGTTGAGTGTTGCCCCTGTGTGGGAATCTGGCAGTGTCTTGCCTCCTGGACCTTCTGGTGGTTTATGCCGATAGGATGGCCTTCCGACAGCTCACTGTGGCAGCTACAGGGACCATCTCTTGCCCCGTGAATGGAAAGTTTACATTTTTTAAAAATAAATTCATTTATTTTTTGGCTGCATTGGGTCTTCGTTGCTGCGCGTGGGCTTTCTCTAGTTGCGGCGAGCGGGGGCTACTCTTCATTGTGGTGCATGGGCTTCGCATTGCGGTGGCTTGTTGCGGAGCATGGGCTCTAGGTGTGCGGGCTTCAGTAGTTGTGGAACTGAAATTGTGGCTCAGTAGTTGTGGCTTGCGGGCTCTAGAGTGCAGGCTCAGTAGTTGTGGTGCACGGGCTTAGTTGCTCCGCGGCATGTGGGATCTTCCCGGACCAGGGCTCGAACCCGTGTCCCCTGCATTGGCAGGTGGATTCTTAACCACTGTGCCACCAGGGAAGCCCTGGAAAGTTTACACTTTTATCAACTGCCCTGGTGGTGACCTCACTCTTAAAGAGATCATCTCTCAAGAGGGGTGGTGCTAAAGCTCCAGATGCAAGACATCCCATGTTCTGAACCAAGGTAGCCACTGGGGGAATTCAGACACGTGAGATTCTGAGGAGGTATTATCCACGGGGTTTGATATCCTGTGGAATGAGGAACGGAGCCATTGGGCAATCCAGGATGGCTTTCTGAGATAAGCGAAGGGGGAGGGGCTGCTGAGGTCACTGGGGGAAGACGCCCAAGGGGCGCCTCAGTGGAGGAGTCCAGGAAGCAGGCCGGTGAACTTGTGGGTCTGGAGCTCAGAGAGAGGTTTGAAGTGGAGCAAAGACTGGGCGTGGTCAGCACAGAGGTGGTAGCTGATGCCAAGGCCACGGTGAAGTGGCCCGGGAGGAGTGTATGGAACAAGAAGAGGGCAAAAGAGGGGACTCTGAGGGTCGTGGCATTTGGGGCTGAGAAGAAGGCTAGGAGCCTGTCACGGAAGTAGAGAAGGAGCAGCAAGAGAAGCACCAGAAAAACGGGGGAGGAGAGTGTTTCCAGAAGGCGAGCAGGACCACGGCGGCCACTGGGTTTGGTTCTGGCAATCGGGAGAGTCTTGGCAGCAACAGCTTCTGTGGAGTGGCAGGCACAGAAGCCCAGTGACCCTGAGTTGACACACAGCAGTGGAAATATCAGATTCAAAAAAGAATGAGGGACTTCCCCGGTGGCACAGTGGTTAAGAATCCGCCTGCCAATGAAGGGGACACGGGTTCGAGCCCTGGTCGGGGAAGATCCCACATGCTGCGGAGTAACTAAGTGCGTGCGCCACAACTACTGAGCCTGTGCCCTAGAGCCCACGAGCCACAACGACTAAGCACATGTGCCACAACTACTGAAGCCCGTGCGCCTAGAGCCCGTGCTCTGCAACGAGAAGCCACCGCAGTGAGAAGCCCGCGCACTGCAGTGAAGAGTAGCCCCCGCTCGCCTCAACTAGAGAAAGCCCACGCGCAGCAATGAAGACCCAACACAGTCAAAATAAAAAAACTTATATTAAATAAAAAACACTTATTAAAAAAAAAAGAATGAGGAAGGCAGAAAACGTGGGCGGAGATGGATGGGAAACAGATTTCACGTATCACCCCTTTCTCAAACAGGAACGATTTTGCTGAATTACAGGATGTCGCTACAGAGGAGGTGAGACAGTGTTGTCAGATACGCATATTGGCATCTGCACCTCAGCTGCCTCTTCTGTGGGGTGGGTGGGAGGAGATTTGGGGCCATATTTTCTCTCCGGACCCTGCCGCTGTCTTACAGACCTCGCAGCCACTCAGTCTGGGCGGCGATGATTTTGGAACTGCTGCGTCTTGCCCTTTCTGTGGAGGTGGCAGTAATGGTTCTGACAGCAAACTTGGAGAAAAAGGGAAACAACTCAAGGGAAGAGAGAGAGCCCCACGTGCATCTCAGGTGGTCTCCTTGTCTTGACTTGGCTGTCACTCCCGAGAGTTGACAAACCCTCTCAATGGCCTCTGAGCGCCCACAGCTCTCTTTTCTGGGGTTTTTTAAATAGCTCCCAAATTAGAAAGGAATTGCAAGGGGTCCTTACTTGTTTTGACTTGGCACATGACCCGGTAATTATAAATTGTTCTTCGCAGGAGCGTTGTCTTAAGTGATCCAAAGAGAAGAAACGCGCTGTCACTGGCGACGCTGAGATCTCCAAAACGACATTCTTCACGAAGCCGAAAGCCAAGATCTGAAGGTCATTATTATTTCAGGTATTGGTCAGGTGTCCATCCTCAGTGTTCTGCAGAACCCAGAAGAGGTGTCTCAAAATTCTTTGGTTAACTAGGGCATTCCCTCATTTAATGGGAGAATTATTTTGAAGCTCAGAAGCTCCTAAACTTGTGTATGGTGGGAACCTTGGTGCTGACACTACTAACTGTGGAAATTATGGCAAAGATTACTGTGCAGTGAAAATATGTCTTTTCCTTTCTGTTGGATACTAAACACTGCCACTCGTGGCTATGCTGGTCTTCCCATCAAAAGCAGAGCACTGATTTCCTCGTGGACCTTATATGATGGGTTTAATCGCCAATCCTTTTGGTAGACTGCCTAGTCGGCTAGGACCAGGCTGCTAGGACACTCGATCGGTTTGTCTTTCAGTTCTTACCAGGCTCTCAACTGAGATGAGCAGTCTTCTTCAACGGTGCCAGAAAGGGTGCCATATTTTGCCCAGTTCTTTCCTTGCTCTTCTTCCAGTAAGAATATTTACCAAATTATCTGGTGATGATGGCAGTGGTATAAATAATAGCAATGTCAGTATTTTTAAAGCATCCACAGACAAGTAATATGGATGATGCTCTGTGATGCTTTTTTTTAAAAAAAATTAAGGATCAGGGCTTCCCTGGTGGCGCAGTGGTTGAGAGTCCGCCTGCCGATGCAGGGGACACGGGATCGTGCCCCGGCCCGGGAGGATCCCACATGACGCGGAGCGGCTGGGCCCGTGAGCCATGGCCGCTGAGCCTGTGCGTCCGGAGCCTGTGCTCCGCAACGGGAGAGGCCACAACAGTGAGAGGCCCGCGTACCACACACACACACACACAAAAATTAAGGATCAGTGTTTCTGGAGAATGTGACCTTCTTATCGGTGGTTTAATATACATTTTCAACTGTTTTATGTGGTGAAGAGAAAAGAAATAGAGCTGTTTGAGGTTAGCAGTCGGGGGCATAACCCGGATGCAGCGAAGGCAGCTCACTTCCAGATGGCACCATTTCCTCCCTTGCTGCCTGTCAGAACCGCCAGGACAAGAGGAAATATGAAGAAGTGTTACCGGCTTATCAGTGGAATTACATTTTGTTGTGGTGGTTAATGACAACAATGACAATAAAACCACCTCCTCAGGTCCCTTGTTTATAAAATAAAGGGATTCTCTTCACACTTTGACCTTCCTGACTCCAGCCCTAGGGGTGTCCCGCTGTCTACAGGCTAAATGACAGGGGCGCTGCTGAAGGCCTGGTGGATTTATGTGGCCCTGGGTCAGTTGGTATACTCAGGCCAGACCAAGTCCCAAAACAAAATTGTGGGACCAAAGGGACGACTCTGAAAAGAGTACCGTCGCCTTGGTCCCTGAGCCTTCTCCTTTTTGTAATTGTGTGTCTTCATTGGTTTCCACCAGGGACCTTTTAGAAAACAGATGCCTCACCCTGCACTGTCATCATAAAATACTGGCTGCAGCTTTTCAGGCTATCTGGAATTATTCTTATCAAAATCGGGCCATTAACTTTCTCTAAGTGTCCACAGCATCGATACGCTCGCTCCCTGAAGTTATTCACAGCCCCAGCTCTGGCTGTTTACATCTCTGTCTTTTCTTTGCTCAACTGGAAACATTGCAGCTGAGGGGCCTGTATTTTCTTCTGGGCATGATTGAAAGGAACTGACGGATGAGCACGGCCCAGATTATCACGCCGAAGTGTTCCGAACCTGCTCTGAGGTAAGCCAGGGTGACAGTTGACTTCGCAAGCCTGAGAGTGATAACCGTATTAAATATTGAAGTAGCCTTCTAGTTTACAGATAAGGTCTTAAGCTATGAGACGTCACCACTGCAGAACTACTGAAACCTCTGTGGTCATTGGCGAACCCTTCACCCAAGCAACTATTTGGTGTAGATTTTTCAGAAGTGACCGTGGTTGGCTTTTGACCTTGCCATAGGCCAAAGAAAGGAAAACATAAGCTGCGGCTCAGAGTTGCCATCTCTGCCTTAAGGGGGTATGTCTTGGTATCCATGTCTTAAGTAAGAGGTAAAGGGTAGAAATGTACATCTTTAGAGAGGAAGAACCTAAGATTATTAAAAGTTTTAAAATTTTAAACTAAAACAATTCTGTTACTGGCAAAGAGAGCATTCATAACAATAATGATTATTATTTTTTTATTTTTATTTTTTTTGCGGTACGCGGGCCTCTCACTGTTGTGGCCTCTCCCGTTGCGGAGCACAGGCTACGGACGCGCAGACTCAGCGGCCATGGTTCACGGGCCCAGCCGCTCCGCGGCATGTGGGATCTTCCCGGACCGGGGCACAAACCCGTGTCCCCTGCATCGGCAGGCGGACTCTCAACCACTGCGCCACCAGGGAAGCCCTTAACAATAATTATTTTTAAAATTATTTTCAAACGCTTCTTTCAACTAACCTTTATAATCACTGCCTCCAAGTAGGAAAATAACCTTCTTCATTTTCACCTCCGTCTTCTGTCTCTTTAACCACATTAAGGAGGGAAATTGACAACAGATGCAGGGGAGGAAGGACAAAAGTTGGGGGTGACTTACAAATGCATCAAATCAACCCAGATAACCAAAAATATAGAATACAACTTTAACACATTGTTCATTTAATGAGCATCTATTGAGCACCTGCTATATGCATACTTGCAAGATACTGAGGGAAACAGAAGGAAAAAAGAGTTTCCAGCCGACCTGAAACTGGAAATCTAGTTGAGAAGGAAGACGTATAAAGCAGTTTCATAACCTAACCCTAAGATTACTTCACCTAATTTCTCCTTTGTACATTGACTTAGTCATTCATCTCTTTGGTTATCAATGTTTATTAATGATTCAACAAATATTTAGCTATACCTTCACTGTAGACCAGACAGAAGTGAGCATCAGAGAGGGGAAGGGGAAGGTGATTGGGATACATTCTCGTCTTCCTTGCCCTTCCAGAAACCCCTTCGGAGATCACATTACAGTTTCTCATTTCGTGGAGGGACAAACCGGAAAAGGGATTGACTTGACTTCATGGAGATGGGAGCAAGTCAGAGCCAAGACTTCAGTCTTTTGTTTCACATTAATGATGCTTATGGGACATTCCGCTGTTGTGTTTGCCAGGAATTGGTGCTTTAAAAGTTATTTTTCTACTAATCTGGTATGTTTGGTCGAAATAGAAAATCATTGTAGAGAACCAGTGGAGCCCTTCCATCCTCCCTAAAGGGCCTGTTTTGCTCACTTTTCTGTGGTATCTTCATGAACTGAGATCTGAACAGCAAAGGGCCACAGGGGAGCTGAGATTCTCCCCCGGACAAAGGCCAGATCTTCTGGAAGCTTCCACCCCACGGGTGCCTCCAACTCACTGAAAAAAGATGCCTACAGGACCTCACCCCGATGTAGTAAAATAGGACCTGAAAGTACACTGACTTCTCTAATACTTTTTCGAAGAAAATCACATTGCCCTGGATAAATCTGAACACCGTGACCTTGTGTGAGATTTCAGCTTGCAAGTGTAGTCAGCATGCAGACGGGAACAGAGTGAGCGAGGTATTTCCCCGTTCAGTTTATGCGCGAGAACGGGGGATGGAAGAAAGGAGGAAATATCTGGACTGTCTCCGCACCTAAGTTCTGTAGCAGATTTGTCACAGACCACAATCGCCGCATGATGGTTAGTTATTTACAAATCAGAAATGGGGCAAACTGAAAATGAGAAGAAACACCTGGTCAGGGAAGAGCGAACATCACCTCCCTCGGGCAGATGTGGGGGGCTTTCGCTGGAGGCCCGTCCTGGTCTTTTCTTTCATCCCGTTCAAGTTTGAAGGTGGAAACCCTGGTCCAGGAAGAGTCTTCCCTCCTCCTCACACCCACCACTGATGTGACAAAGGGACAGGGCCACTTGCGTTGGGAACGAGCGTAGAACCCTCCGTGATGCTGTTCAGTGAGGCTGGGGCAGAGTTAAATTTATGTCCCATTTTGGAGTAGGCAGGACCAAAACAAGTACTGAATTCAGGAGGCAAAATAGGAGGACTAATCATTCTTGACAATCAAGGGATTGGTTACCCAGCTGGTGTATTAGCTAGGTTCCCTCTGTCTTCCCTGAATTGCTCTCTAACTTTATTTAAAATATTTTTTAATTATAAAAGTAATAGAGGGCTTCCCTGGTGGTGCAGTGGTTGAGAGTCCGCCTGCCGACGCAGGGGACGCAGGTTCGTGCCCCAGTCCGGGAAGATCCCACATACTGCAGAGCGGCTGGGCCCGTGAGCCATGGCCGCTGAGCCTGCGCGTCCAGAGCCTGTGCTCCGTAATGGGAGAGGCCACAGCAGTGAGAAGCCCGTGTACCGCAAAAAAAAAAAAAAAAAAAGTAATAGATACTTCTTATAGAAAATTTGGAAAATCTAGAAGAACAAAAGGAAGAAAAATAAATTACTGATACTACACCCATGATCATACCACCCAGAGAGAACTGTAATTAATATTTTGCTGTATTTCTTTTTCATCCTTTCCCATGTGTACCCATTTGTTTGAATGATCATACATGGGTGTGATTATACAGTATAATTGTGTAATATCATCATAGCATTGAATGCTTACTATGTGCCAGGTGATACTTTGAGAACTTTAGACATGTTAACTTACATAATCTTCCTGTTCTGTAAGGTTGTTACTATAATTATACCCATTTTACAGATGTGAAGACTGAGGGATAGGAAGAAAGTAAGTGATAGCCGGGGTGTCGGCCCCCAGCAGCCTCACTGCAGACCACCATGCTGATATTTCTCTCAGAAAATTTCATTGTAATGAGAATGTAGCTTTCCATTGCATTGGAATATATTTTAGTTTATATAGCCATTTACTTATTTTTGTATATTTATATGATTTATAGTTTTTACTATTATAAAGTAATGATTTGGTGAACATCTTGGTCCAGACAGCTTTTTGCCCTATTTCAGATTATTTCTTAGAATTCCTAGATCGAGGGTAGGATATTTTTAATGTTGGTGATCTACTGTATTGCCTAAGTATTTCCCATCAGCTTGTGTGGAATCTCAGCCCTTCCTAGACGACAGGCAGGAGACAGACTGTGCCACCCAAGTCACAGCCAACTGACTCTTCCTACCTTCAGCTGATCAGGTGACGGATGACACTCAGAGCTGAAACAGTCTTTTCTGCCTCTGCAGTCAGACCTTACATGCTCTTGTGCAGCCTGCTTGCTACTGTGTCCCCTGAGAAGCAGCGCTGCCCCTCACCCTCCCCATCCTCACGTATGTGCACGAACCCCCTGTACCCACCAGCAGTTTGGGGTGCTGGTACATATATGTGCATTCCTCTGGAGGAGGGTCATTAGCATTTACCAGATTCTCAAAAGGCGAACCCCCAATTCCTGATATCAGGAATATGATATCATATCCCTAAATATATAATTGGTCATTTTATAATAAAGCTGACAAGTACCAAATGTTCATGAACACAAAAGGTAAGTTCCTTAGGCAAAACCTTGGAATCCGTGAAGGTCGTTTACCTTGGAGCGGCTCTGTGGGAAGCAAGGCCAGGTCCCCGCCTCCCCTCCCTCCTGCCGGGGTCGAAGGGCAAACACTTATACACTGACGTCACCATAGTAACACAATCTGTTTAGAGTGTCATGGAAAAAAATGGAGAAATTAGCCAAGTTATTTCATAAGCTGCAAAACTAAGTTAAAGTTCTGGAGATTTTGGGGGGGAGCGGTCTCACCTGAGCCAGTTTCCAGCTACCCTCTCTGTGCCAATGCATTTTGGAATTCTGTTTATTTTATTTAATTTATGTATTTATTTATTTTCCGGTATGCGGGCCTCTCACTTTTGTGGCCTCTCCTGTTGCGGAGCACAGGCTCCGGACGCGCAGGCTCAGCGGCCATGGCTCATGGGCCTAGCCGCTCATGTGGGATCCTCCCGGACCAGGGCACGAACCCATGTCCCCTGCATCGGCAGGCGGACTCTCAACCACTGCGCCACCAGGGAAGCCCTGGAATTTTGTTTATTTTGATGACAGCAGGGTGTTCCCCACCATCTTAATAGAATTGAGAGAGTATCATGGTGGTAATTGGAGAAGTAATTACTAAGGAAATTACTTCCCAGGCCCTTTCCCACCTGTTTCAGACTTTTAACACAAGAGCTCCATGCAGGCACCTTTGGGACAGAACTGCTTGTTCCCCAGAGGTCAAAGTCAGCCCTCTTCTGCAGCGGGGTTGCTAGGGGAGCGGTTGAGGGGATAGCATCCTCACAGAAATCATGCTTAGGGACAGACCAGGGGCCTGGAGTCAGACAGAGGTGGCTCAGACCCCATAGCCCCCCTCGCAGATCTGGTGGCCTTAGGGGGTTACTTCCCCCGTGAGCCTTGGTGTCCTGGTTCCTTCCTTCTGGATCTCAGGAAGACCAAATCACACAGTCTGGCTCACCGTCGATATTTAATGAAAAGTTATTCTCTTTGTGACTTCCCCTACCCTTTTTGTCATAGAATCTGATACACTGATAGCATATGAAAAGGGCTCTGAAAACAGTAAAGTCACATAAAATCCTGAGTGTTACTGTCGCACCTCACTCTTGGATGGAAGCGAAGCAGGTGTGTTTGCTCTTCAGGTCATGATGCTGATCCAGACCCACCCGGTCCCCATCATCGCGTGGTGAATGGCCTGGCCACTGCTGCCGGGTGTCAGCTGGTTGCCAGCTGTGACATTGCTGTGGCGAGTGACAAGTCCTCCTTTGCCATGCCGGGCGTGAACATCGGGCTCTTCTGCTCCACCCCCGGGGTGGCCTTGGGGAGAGTGGTGCTGAGAAAGGTAACTGAACTCCCTGCACCTCCTTGCTAACTGTGATCCTCCAGTGCCTGTGAGGGTGAGTTCCAGAACTTTCTTGTTGAAAGTACCGTTTGATTCAGGACATTCTGCCCAAAGCAGAGCTGGCTGAATGTACTAATGTCTCGTGTTGGGAGGTTATCCCAGTGACTGTCAGTTTGTAAGTCACTGCTTTTCATTCTTGCCTACGTACCTCAATACAGCTGGTTAGGTTTTTAGATATGCTTTGTTTTCATAAAGGTGAACATTTTTTGCACTCCTATTTGAAATGCAATTCAGACACAGTTTTGTTGCACGGAAAGGTTGCCCATGAGCTATAATAGCATGGTGACATATGCCAGTATAAGAGGCTAGGACATTCTGTCGCTGGCTTCCTGTTTGCCAGCAATCTGTCTCATTCCAGAACGGACTGAAAGTAGCTGATACACTGAGTGTGTCAGGTTTGCAGTGGTTGCAGGAATGTCCTGTACATGGTGTGTCGAATCTGCCCCAGAAGGAGCTGCACTGCCAGAGTTGTTCTGTTGTTGCTAACCCTTGTGAAGTCCACTTTCTTCACAAAGCTTTCCTCCTTCCTATAACGTCATAAAGAATTTTTACTGAACAGCTCTTAAGTGGAAACCGGTGGTTTCCTTGTTTTCCTTGTAAGGAAAAATACATCCTTATTCTCAACTGGAAATCTGTTTTTAAAGGGGGTGCCAGAGTCGTAGAAAGTAGGGAATCTAAATTGCTTTCTAGAATATATTAACCATTTTAGCATCAACTAGGAAAATTAGCAGTTGCTCATATGCCGGAGGCACAAAAGAAATGAGCCCCAAGGGAAATCAAGCCGCAGGACCAAGAGGTTCAGGGGAGCACACCTGCCTTTCATGCACCTCATTAGCTTTTACAGAAATGTGTGTTTGTGAGAAAATTCTGGTGACAGATACCTACAAACACATACACTTCTGAAAACCAGCTGGACATGGGCTCCACATTGGAAAAGGTGACCCTCAGAACACAACAGCTTGCTCCAGTGTCCTCAGACTCGGGGGTGTGTCTGGATCCCACCAGGATACACATTTACCTTAAATGTTATATATTAATTCAATAAATACTTCTTAAGTCCCTGCTTGGTGCCAGCACATTAAATTAAAATGCATCACAAAGTTATCGTCAGAGCTTATGAACGAAGTATCTTGTAATTGTGCAAATCAAATCTCCAGGCCTTTTGCACATTAAAGGTGGTTGCTTGGCCAACCTGCTGCTGTTCAGCTTTGACACCTAACATTCTGGAAGGTTCCATGTGAAAGCATTTGAAAACTTTAAATCAGCCCTACTTTCCAGATAAGAATCTATTCTTTCTCAAAACAAACTTTAGGACTTCCCTGGTGGCGCAGTGGTTAAGAATCTGCCTGCCAATGCAGGGGAGTGCGTTCAAGCCCTGGTCAGGGAAGATCCCACATGCCGCGGAGCAACTAAGCCCGTGTGCCATAACTACTGAGCCTGCGCTCTAGAGTCCGTGCTCTGCAACGAGAAGCCGCCATAAAGAGAAGCCCGAGCACCACAACGAAGAGTAGTCCCGGCTCGCCGCAACTAGAGAAAGGCCACGCACAGCAACGAAGACCCAACACAGACAAAAATTAAAAATAAATTCTCATTTAAAAAAAATATTAAAAACAAACAAACTTTAAAAATCAAGGCTTATACTTGAGTCCCAGAAACTTACAAATTGATCATATGTGTCAAATTTTAAATTTGTTTTTGAGAAGAAAGAAGGAAAAAAATTTTTGTCAAAGACAGGCCTTAAATTCCCAGGAAGCCCAGTTCTCAGGACCATGTTGCATAAATCTCACCTGCGTGGCCCGCCCCAGGAGGAAAACTAGGGATTCACAAAAATCTAAAACCGACCAAAACACACCTGCCTGTCGTCAGTGCTTGGCTGCACCCACAGGGACGCATCCATACACGGGCCGCCACCTGCGTGGGTGACATGCCAGCGTTCCCGTGCACATCCGCCGGGAAGCAAAACTAGCAGGTGCCTTTGCAAAGTGGCCCAGTCGGGAAGCTCCGCTCCTTTCAACACGGCTGAGGCGGCAGGTGTGGGTCGCCAGTGCCCTCTGCTGGTCACCCTAGGGAACTGCCCAGCGTGCGGAGGACGCTGCCTTTTGTCCTGCAGAAACCGTGGCCAGGAGCCCTCGGGTTCCAGCCAGACTGAGCCTGGGCGTGAATCATTTACCACGTGTGCAAAGTGTCCCCCTCCCCCAGCTTGAGTTAAATATGCATCTTCGTTGCACGTATAGACGACCTGCCTGGTGCAGCTGCTCCCTCCCGCAGTCAGAGTTGGTCTCGCCCAGCCCCTAAAGCAGTGGGTACCACGGGCAGGGGGAGCACGTGAAAGACCAGAGCCCCGGCTTCCCAAACCAGTCAGGTCTCCGCGGGAACACTTGCTTCCTCCAGTTTACCCACAGTAACTCTGCATCTGCGGGATCTGAATTCCTAATTGATTAGATCAGAGTAGAACTTGCAAGATGGAGAGGATGTTAAGTGAAAGCCTTGCTACCCAGCCCGCGTGCGGATCACCAGAGAGCCTGGGAACCGGGGGTCTCAGGCCCCCCCCCCCCGACCCACCGCTTCAGAATCTGCATGTTAACGGTGACGCTGTGGCCACCACAGGCGTATGTTCAACAGCCCACCTCATGAAAGGGCTGGGGTCTCAGTGACTCACCGGAGGTCTCCCGGCTGATGAAGTTAACCCATGATCCCCTGTCAGGTCCTTCCCTTCCGGTCCTGCCGAATCGCAGCCCTAATGCTGACGCACCACCAGCTAGTTCTTCTCCTACACGTGCCTTGAGGAACCCCAGAGACCCCTCTGCTTTAAATAATCAGGGGCCTTGATACCTAAAGCCAACACTGGAGATTCATACAAATTTACAGGAGGAAGAAGCCTGTTAATAACAGGCACTGCATTTACTAGGGGCCTCCTGGGTGCCCCGCACTGTAGTATAAGTTTTACACAGCTTTCTCCAATCTTCACAATTCTGCAGGAGAATGGGAATCTTTACTCCCATTTTTTCAGATGAGGAAACAGACTCAGAGGGTTAAACTGCCCCCTTAAGTTTGTGTGGTTGGTAAGTGGGATTGGAACTTGGGGACATCAGACACCAGGGGTCAGCCTTGAAGGTCAGCCTTGGCTTCAAGTGCTTTTTGTTGCTTTTAATACAGATACTCTGGGAAGAGGAAGTATAAAATCACCACCTTGTTAGGGGGACCCTAACAAGGGTTGATAACAGAAAAGGGTGAGAGGAGGTATTTTCTTCTCTCATCTGAAGTTTCAGGGGAAACAGTAAGTAAAGATTGTGCTAATTCGCCATAAAATAGGCTTTCTTTTTCTCAGGGAATGCCACTCTATTATCTGACCCGTGTGGGTACAACCCCTATAAATCAATGTGGTGCTAAATAGCGTTACCCCACCAGGCAGGTAAGCACACTGATGCCAGAGAGGGCCATGAACTAGGCAGGACCAGGTAGGAAGCTGAAGGCAGGCCAGGAGCATGAGTGCCCGGGACAGGGGGGACTCTCATGTTCTCTTGCGCCTTCCCCAGATCGGACCCCCTGGCCTCTGCCCTTCACTGGGACTCGCTGGGTGTCTTCAGGGGCGTCTTACTTAGCAGCCCTGGATCAGCAGGACCGGTTTTTAGCTCCACATTCAAACAGGCACTTCAGACACGCTTTGCAGTGACAATGCTGTTCCTCTTCAACTATGAAATAGTCTCTGTAGCTCCTGCTGCCTCCAGCATGTCATCATGAAATTTCCAAAATTGGACAACATTGGGATTTAGTCCTCTCCCCTAACTGCAGAGGAGAAAATGGGGCCAACATCGCCTTGTCCCTGGTGGGCAACCCAGTCCACTGTGTGCTCCATCTGCACCTATGATGGCATCTGTACCCACCTTCTGGCCTCTCCTCTTCCACCAAAGCCCAATCCCCCAGTGATACGATCTAGTCTCATGATTCAAAAAACCACCTTAATCGGTGGTTCTAATCTGGGAGCAGTATTGGTGCCAGGGGCCGTTTGGCAGTGCCTTGATTGTCACAAGTTGGGACAGGGGTACTGCTGCCCGGTAGATAGAGGCCAGGGATGCCACAAACATCCTACAATGCCCAAGACAGCCCCACACAACAAAAAAATTATCTGGTCCAAAACATACAATAGCCCTGAGGCTGAAAAACCATGACCTAGCTGATGATAGCGCAAGCTAGTCCAATGATCTGTAACAAACCACCCTCAACTCAGTGGCTCCAAACAATAGTAATTTGTTTAGCTCGTGAATCTGCAACTTGGACAGGGCTCAGAGAGGAAGGCTTATCTCTGCACCACAGTGTCCGTGGCCTCAGCTGGGAAGATTTGGGAGGGGAGCATGACAGCTGGGGGCAGTGGTCTGAGGGCCCGCCCGCTCCCACATCTGGCTGTTGAGGCTGCCTCTCAGCTGAGACCTCGGCTGGGCTGGTCAGGGGCACACAGGCTGTGTCTCAGCCTCAGAGTGGCTCGGGCTTCCTCACGGCGTGGCAGCTGGGCTCCAAGGCTGAACAGCCGGAGAGAAAGAACCAGTGGAAGCCGTTGTCACCTTCTGACCTGGCCTCTGCAGGACTGTGCCATCACCTCTCCTGTACTGTGTTTGCCTCCATCCATCCGCTCCTTAAATCACTCACCAGTAAATATCCTGGAGGCTGCCTACTATGTGCAAGGTACTCTTCTGGTGCTGGCGATACAGAAATAAACAGAAGAGTAAAAAAAAAAAAAAAACTCTCTGATCTAGTGAAGTTTATGTGCCAACAAAGGAGATAATACAATAAACAAAATGAATGTGTAAAATATATAGTAAATGGTGAAAGTGCAAAGGAAGACAATGCAGCCCGAAGGGGGGATGGTGCTGGGGTGTGAGCTGTGATTTCAATAGAGTGGTGACATGTGACCTGAAGGAGATGAGGAGGGTCCCCCCCTCTCCTGGGTGCTCATGGATCCCGTCCCTGGCAGGAGTCTGGGGATGGAAGACCTCAGAGGTGATGGGGACATGGTGTTTGAGGAGCAGGTAACTGGCCCGAGCGTCACGGTACAAACAGTGTCTGCAGAGTGAAGCAGGGCGGGTGGGGCCTGGGCGGCACTGGGTCGCAGGATGGCCGGTGCCTAAGTAACGGCCCCTGTCCCCTCCCACAGGTGGCCTTGGAGGTGCTCTTCACCGGGGAGCCCGTTTCTGCACGGGAGGCCCTGCTCCACGGGCTGCTGAGCAGGGTGGTGCCGGAGGACGAGACCACGCAGATGGCGAAGAAGGTGGCCTCGCCGGACCAGCCCGTGCTGTCGCTGGGCAAAGCCGCCCTCTACAGGCAGCTGGCTCGGGACCTCAGGACCGCCTGCCACCTCACCTCCCAGATGATGGTGGACAACCTGGGCCTGCCGGATGCCCAGGAGGGGGTCAAGGCCTTCCTCCAGAAGAGGAAGCCCGTCTGGTCACACTGAGCAGCCTCATCAGAGGAACCGGGGGCCGTGAGCCCAGTGGGCAGCGCTCAGGGATCCCCCCCACCGGCCCCACCCGTGACCTTCTGACCCCCAGACACCACCGCTGCCTCGTGACTGTAGCAGAGCCAGCCAGCTTTTCCAGCATCAGTCACGTCTCAGTGCACGGGGTCTGGGTTACGAGTCAGCGCTCCCTGGGGAAGGGGTGACCTGGAGAGTCGGGTGCTAACGTGAGCGGAAGGGCTGTGAGCACACAAGAAAGCCCATGTGTGATGCTCCTTCCCAGGACCTTAGATGAGGGGATGCCCCCCCCAGGGGAGAAGGTGAAGATAAAACTGAGGCGAGAAGGAAGGATTTCAGCCCGACTCTGTGACCAGAAAGGTGGAGGTGGTGCCAGTTGCCTACGACAGAAACATTGCAGATCTTCACGAGACGCTCTCCCCTCTGGAAATCTTCCTGATTCTATTGAGAAATAATCATGCCTCTGGCTTTGGGATAATCTTATGGGGTCTTTTAAAGATTACCTATTTAGAGAGACTGGTAATTTTAACTCCCCAACCAGACTGTAAGCTGGTTGAGAGAAGAAAATCAAAGAACTCTGTCTTTGATGCCTGTGCTGATGGACGTCTGGTAGGTGCCTGGTGCTTCTGTAATGAAGGTCCCTGCCACCAGGATACTGGGAACCTGGACCCTGGGCTAAACCTGAGGATAAAAGCATCAGGGAGAGAAAGGAGGGACGCAGAACACACATTGTCCCCACGAAAGATCACTTCCCCTGGAAGCATTTCCAAACTCTGCTCAGCTTCTGGTGAAGAATCCTGACTAGCCTCGAGCACTTGAGTTCCCCAAAGGTGGTTCAGGACCTAAACGTCTTACCTCCTGGCTTCTGGTCCACTTAGGCCCCGGAAGTGGCCCAGACCGCGCCTCCGCAAGCTCACACCTGGGGCTGATCACGTTTGTTAAGGGCCAATTTTTTTTTAACCTACGATTAGAGTGGCCGTAAATGTAATTCGTACCAAAGACAGAGACCCGTGAGGCTCTACCCGGTGGTTCTCATTCTAATCACGGGGGCAAGCAGCCCCTGGAAGGGAGGTCCCCTAGTGGGTTTCTATTGAGATTGGCCTTTTTTTTTTTTTTTTTTCTTTGCCAGAGTTTAGAAAGGTGAAAAAGAGTGTTCTCTTGGAGGGCTTCCCTGGTGGCGCAGTGGTTAAGAATCCACCTGCCAGTGCAGGGGACACAGGTTTGAGCTCTGGTCGGGGAAGATCCTACATGCCGTGGAGCAACTAAGCCCGTGCACCACAACTGCTGAACCTGCGCTCTAGAGCCTGTGAGCCACAACTACTGAAGCCCGCGCGCCTAGAGCCCGTGCTCCACAAGAGAAGCCGCTGCAATGAGAAGCCCGCGCACTGCAACGAAGAGCAGCCCCTGCTCGCCGCAACTAGAAAAAGCCCGCACGCAGCAACGAAGACCCAACGCAGACAAAAATAAAAATAAATTAAAAAAGAATGCTTTCTTGGAAAGGAGGAGCTTGTTACTGAGAATGTTCCTCAGAAGAAGAAAGATCATCAGAGCCACCAGTCCCTGGAGCCCAGTACACACCAGCACCCCCTGTACATCCTCATTCAGTCACCACCAGAATCCAGCAGAGCGGGGCCACCATCACCTCCAGCTTACAGATGGGTGGTGGAGACCGGGGAGAGGGAGGGTCCCAGATTCTGTCTGCTGATAAAGACGTGGGTGCCCTCCCCCCCTCCCCCCCACCGCCGGCTGCCCACCTTGTCGGGGAGCCTGGGCTGGAGGGAGGCCGACCTGAAGACCTGACCCCTGCCCCTCAGCTTTCCAGAACCCAGGGCTGGACTAAGCGCGCCCCCTGGAGGACTTTGCCGGTGCACCGGGGACGTGGGATTTGACTATTGGCAAATCACCAGTGGAGTTTTACTACGAATCTGATAAACAACTGTCTGAAATTTCAACCCAGGCTGTGAAGGACTGGCCCTCATGATCTGCTCAAAAATAATCCGCCGGTGGGGCCCCTGCGGGTTGCCCCCCGTGGGAGTTGCTGTGTGGCTGCTGATAGATCCCACAGTGAGGAGAGGGTGTTATAAACTCCGGGCTTTGGAGAAAGTTAGCGAAGCCTTCTCACACGTTCCAAGGAAAACCAAGTTGCCTTTCCAGTTTCTGGATGAGCGGCACCATAGCCTCCAACCAGGAAATCCTCTGGCCTCTAGGCTGGCTTCCCAACCTGTGAGCTGAGGTGCCTCAGGGACTCACTATAAATCTTAATAATCGCCGGAGCAGAAAATAATCCAGAAGGAAAATCTGCTACCCAAACACCAGTGTCACATAATTCACCCCCACGGCAAATACAAATTGGGGGTGAATTTGCATCTCTGCTTCCTTCCACTGGGATATTGAATGAAAACGTTCTGATCACCACCACCACAGACGACTGCTTTTGGAAAGCCTCGTGTGTTCATCTTTCCCTCTGTACCATTTACTGCTCAGGGAGCTTTGCTGAGCTCAGCCCAGACCAGCAGATTCAGGGGCTAGAAAGTCAGCGAAAGGGGCCTTTGATTCTGCACGGCCTGGGAGAGAGAGCATTCCCAAGGCCGGCCTCAGCCCGCCAAAAAAACAAACATGGCGCAAATGACTAATTTCACACCAACAAATGGGGGGGCCTGCCAGGAGATTTATTGAGCCGAAACTCTTGCCAGGCAGCCCTCGGAAGGAGCTCTCTCTGCTCCCCGGTATGTGCATTGGCCACAGTTGAGCCAGCATCTATATGACTCTGAATCCCGTGCCTCTGTCACCACACCGCAGTCCTCCCAATGTACCGAAAAGATCACAGTTCCAGCCTGGAGAGACGGACGACCGATGCACTCAAAGGAAACCAATCAGAAATGGCAGAGCCAAGGCAACACAGCTTTGCTTACCGAGGGGATGCAGGAGAAGCACAGATTCAACCTCGAAGAACACCGAGTTCAAGTCCGAGGATTGCCACCATCTAGCTGTGTGACGGTGCAGGTGACGGAGCCTCTTTCAGCGCCCAGGTCCCCTTCTGGGACCCTCGTGTCCTTCCGGTTCTGACACTGCAGATTCTACAGCAATGGAAACTTGCTGTGAAACCTGAAACAGGTCGCTTTGCTCAGAGAAAATGCTCTTTTACAAAAGGAGAAGATGGGCCTCTTTCCCTAGAAGCGGTGCACAGTGAAAGCACCTGATTGCATTGGAGAACGAGAACTCCATTATGGAGCCTCAGAGCCTGGGGGCCACACCTGAACCTTTTAAAAATGTCCGGCCGGGAAGCACCTACAGAGTGAAATCGGCAATCATCCTAATTTTGTCTAGGGGCCCCCTTTCCTCTCTCCGTCCTCTGAAAACCCACTGCACTAAGCTTTTCAACTGTTTTAAAATATTTGACCAATGAATGATTATTCTTCCCTGGCAGTCATCAAGAGGCCAGAGTTCAAATCAGCCTTATTGAAGCTCACCTGTTACCGTTAATAAACTTAATGAAATTTCAGTCTTGCAAGGGTTTTTCTTTCATGTTCTGGAGCCCAGAATGTATTTTTCAGGTCCCAAACAGAGGCCCTCCCCCCCCCACCCCCCCCCCCCCCCCCCAGAAGCTGGCAGGCCATCCTGGGCCTGCAGGATGGGAGGGCCCAGCCCCCTCTGGCTCCCTGGGGGAGGGGAGGCCGCTGTCCCACAGGAAAGGGGGAGGGAAGGCTGGGGCCGGGTGAGTCCAGTGTTGTGGGGTTTATGCTCCTCTGACGTCCTCGCTGATTTTCATAACGATGTTTCCTTCCAAGCTGCCTTTCCTGCCCAGGAATGTCTCAGCTCTGACCCAATTTGCAAGTATTTGTTCACAGATTTAAGAAATCTTTCCCTTTTCTGTTGTATGTTTTCAATATTTACCTTACCTAACTCTGTATTGAGATGGCACTGGCCACGTTTAGAAATTTCTAGGAATCTAGAAACAGGAAAAAATGTTGATCAAAGTGGAGTGTGATTTAAAGCTTATCAATGCTGCGACTGATGTCGTGGTTGCTCTGTGCCGGGCACTGTTTAAGCATTTTCTGGATGTTAATACGTGAAGCCTCATAAAGTGTCTATGCACTAGGCTTTATGAACCCCATTCTACGGAGAAGAAACTAAAACACAAAGATACTGTGACTTGCCTGTCATCACACAGCCGGTAGGGGGCAGAGCTAGGTCTGAAATCCAGGGGGTCGGGTTCTGAGCACGGACTCTACCCCAGGCCACCCTGCTGGCCCTCTTACTGGCTTTGAGGTGACAGCGACATTCCATCACTTTGTAGACACTTCTGTTGTGCAGGAAACACACTGAATTATTCTTTTTTTTTTTTTTTTTTTTTTTTTTGTGGTACGCGGGCCTCTCACTGTTGTGGCCTCTCCCATTGCGGAGCACAGGCTCCGGACGCGCAGGCTCAGCGTCCACGGCTCACGGGCCCAGCCACTCCTCGGCATGTGGGATCTTCCCGGACGGGGGCACGAACCCGTGTCCCCTGCATCGGCAGGCAGACTCTCAACCACTGCGCCACCAGGGAAGCCCTGAATTATTCTTTTTAATCACAGTCTAGTGTATCACGCTCCCTGCCCCCAAACAAGAGTGTGCGTTCCTACAGGGCCACATCAGTCTCTGTTGTTTATTTCTCAGCGCCTGGACACTGCCCGGCACAGCGTAGACCTCCCATGAGACTTTCCGGGTCCAGGTGAATGCAGCCAGGGTGCAGTTTCCCCACACACCCTCACCCCGTCCTGGCTTGTGACACAGACATGAGAAATTTCTTAAAATTCTCAGACCACATTTTCTAAATCAGTTTTGCAAAGTTGAATAGCTCAGCAAAACGTGAATTAAATCCATGTTTTCTCTGTAGGTCCATGGAAGTTGATGGTGTCTCTGTGTAGGTCGGTATTCAGGAGTTACTTTGGATGAAATCAGATCCAGGGTTCCAAAAAGCCCATTTTCTTTCTTTAAAGCACAGCTGAAGCATGTTTTGGCCTCCAAATGCTTACACTTCTGGTGATAGAACAGAGAGAAAATATATGGTTGGTTGGCAAGGTGAGAAGACAGCTAATAGATTTGCTCTTGACAGACTCTATTGAAATGGTTAATATGCCTATTTAAACCAAAATTGGCTCATTTGTTACTGCTGTCAAAGTTATTATGCTGATCCTTTGATAATTATCCCTTAAGTTACCCAGTCAGTCTGTCCAGTTTTCACACATGAAGTTTCTTCAAGGCCCTAGTCCCATATCAGCAACCCCACCCGGTCCCTAAAGGATGATGGACAGTTGCCAGGGTCACTCACTGTGCCCCTCACCCCACCCAGCCCACCCACCCCAGGGACCCCTCACACCTGTCCTCCTGCCAGTCTAGTGGTGAACCGCACACACACAAGTTACCATGTTCCTGTAAAAGCAGATTTAATTTCCTTTGTTTCAGTTGCATGGATTTTTTTCCCCCAGGTCTATTTCCAAAAGAAACAGTTGAAAGGATTTTAAAACATCACTGCATGTATTTATTGAGTCTAAACTGCAGAGCGCCGTGCAAGGCACCATGCGATGGTTTTTTTAAGACAATTCCGACTCTCCAGGAACTTAGTCTAGTAGATAAGTCATGACCACGTTAAAACTCAAATACAAAATAGCTGCCATGCACGGGAGTCAGGTAGTTGGGCTGCCTCTGAGCCCACGCCCTGTGACTTGCTGTGTGATGTGGGGGCTCGTCGTCTAACCTCTTCGAGCCTCAGCTTCCTCACGGTTAGAAGGGGGATGATAGTGATACCTGGCTCCTAAGTGGTTCGAGGATTAACGTAGATGAGACTTGATGACCGCCCCCCCATGTCCCCGTGACCCACCTCCATATCACGTGCAGCTGTGGTGGGCACTTTCCACAGATAACAGCTTCCCCCGTTATGAAATGAGCTGTGTTCCCACAAAGTTCATATGCTGAACTACCCTTGTCCCCCAATGGGACTGTATCTGGAACTAGGGCCTATAAGGAGGTAGTAAGGTTAAATGAGGTCAGAAGGATGGATCCCTAATCTAGAAGGATTAGTGTCCTTATAAGCAGAAGGAGAGACACCAGGGATATTTATGCACAGAGGAAAGGCTGTCCACAAGCCAAGGAAAGAGGCCTCGGGAGAAACCAAACCTGCCCACTCCTTGACCTTGGACTTCCAGCCTCCAGAACTGGGAGAAAATACATTTGTTTTTTTTTGTTTTGTTTTTGGTTTTTTTGCAGTACGCGGGCCTCTCACTGCTGTGGCCTCTCCCGTTACGGACGGAGCACAGGCTCTGGACGCGCAGGCTCAGTGGCCATGGCTCACAGGCCCAGCCACTCCGCGGCATGGGATCTTCCCGGACCGGAGCATGAACCCGTGTCCCCTGCATCGGCAGGCGGACTCTCAACCACTGTGCCACCAGGGAAGCCCAATACATTTATTTTTAAGTCCTCCAGTCCTCCAGGTGTTCTGTTACAGCAAGCAGACTAAGACCCGCCCCCAAGCACTTTGTCTCCGCCTCTGCGGTGGTGCTGGCCCTCCAGTAACGGGCTCAGCCTTCAACACAAACCCCAAAGTGGCGGGGAGGTAAGGCCTCCAGGGACACCCCTCAACACAGCAGGTGGGGTGTGTGGATAACCGCCCCGGGCCCTGGCCGTCGGTGGGAGAAGCTCTCAGGTGCGGGGCTGTGTCTTCTCAGGCGGGACCGGCAGGGCTGAGCCCACCATAGCGCTGACCTGCTCATTAACACAAACTTCGTCAGCTTTTCTCCTTCCTGCCTCACCTGGTCCCACGCCCTCACCTGTGCTTCCTAGGATGACCTTCCAAATAAACCGCCTTCACACGGGCCCTTGATTCGGGGTCCGCCTTTGGGGAACCCAAACTGAGTCAAGGGATAGATTCACATCAGTCACTCAGGGAGCACCCCCCATCCCTCACAAAAAAGTGGAAACAAGATTTAGCCACGGAAGGCACGTTACAGTGGGGCCATCCGACCGGTTGCTAAATGAACACCACAGGAAATAAGTATTACAGGAACCAAGCGGAAGGGATCTCAGCGCCCAGTTACCTTACAAACTGTGACATCACACAGACAAGGTCTGGCTGACTAAAAAGATAACAGACCTAGCCAGCCCTGGTACTCAACGCAGGATGTTCTGACCAGAAGCTGGGGTGCCCTTCCTGGTGACATCCCCTCGAGACTGTCAGGGTGAGCAGCCCCATAAACAATCCAAGCTTTCCGGAAGTTTCCTTAGCAACGTTCAGGAAAAAGGCTGAGCAAGTGCGTGGTCCCCTAACTCCCCTCCAGTGGCCCCTGGAGAAGGAATTTATGAGCTGCTGCATCTCTAGTCCCTTCCTTGGCATTTACTGGCTTTTTGATGAAGGTTAGAGCAATTTTCTGTCAACAGCTTCTCATTAGGGGCCTGGTGATGTTCTTTTGACCATTATTTTACTCGGCATCATGCCTGGTCACTGTGAGAAGAGGTCCCACTTAGAAAGCATCCGTCTTTGCAGCAGCAAAGAGCTCAGGTAATCCCACTGAAATATTCCTCCGGGCCGACAGCGCCCCGAGGCTTGTGTACTGAACTCAGACAACAAGCCAGCCTTTCGTGAACCACTCAGCTTCTGGCGTGGCGCCTCCCCATCTCTTTTTAAAGACATATTTCAGGTTTAATTCTCTGTTTCTTTTAAAAATGAATTATGGAGAACTTGTTGGTGAAATAATCACTAGGACTTACTTCTCAGAGACCACAGGTTCTCACCACGAATGACAAGTCTGCCTTGGAAAAGCCTGGAACCAGCAGGTGTTGGAGGAAGGTGTCCAGTTCCCCTGACGGACTGTTTATCTCGCCCCTGAAATGCACTGTCTGCACACGGTGATGCTTTAGGAAAGCATCTGGAGACGTCTGAGGCTCCTGTCATTCATCCATACACCCTCCTCCGCCTTCCCTACCACCGTGAATCTAGCCTGGAATGGCTCGTGGCCCAGCTTTCACAGTCCTCAGTGGATAGTTTATCAATCTTGTGTCACCTGTCCCATCCCCACTCCCCTCCGGTCCCCACCCAGACTCTTCTGAAGTGGATCCCAGAGTCACCTCCTCAGAACAGAAAGACACTGCTCTCACCCAGGAAATTCCAAGGGATTTGGGAGCTCTGTGTAGGGAACCACGGTCAAGGAGCAAATATTAGGACAAAAGATGCTCCTGGTGCGCTCATCACTCAGGAAGTGACAAGGGTCTCAGGAGCCCTGCGCCAGGACCTGGGGACAGAGACCAGCATATACATGTTCTCTTATCTCACAACAACCCCTTGGATGTCTTTCCCTCCTGTTCCCAGGGATCATTTTCCAAAATAACTGCCTCCATGCAGACCTGGGGCTCAGGCTCTGCTTTCCAGGGGAAACCCAGGCTGAGATGCCAACCAGGGGAGGGGCCAAGGGAGTTCCAAGAATGCCAGCAAAGGGAGTCTCAGGGTGACCACCAGGCACCAGACCCTTGTTTTATTAGAATCTCTGGTTCTCAGCGCTTGAAGCTGCAGTTCCAAACTTCTCCAGCAGAGGGCAGTGGTAGCTTAGCTCTAGATGGACATCTCCACGGCCTGTTGCCAGGTTACCTGGACTAGAAAATCACATTTGCTTTTTAGTCCTGAGAATAAAAGAAACATATTTAGCAGAGTCAATACTAGTAAAGTTAGTTAGATGTCAGTTCATCTGAGGCAGTGGAGAGGAAGAAGCTCATAAATATAATTGTTTGTATTTCTTTTTTTTTTTAAATAATAGAGTCAGCTGACCTCATGGTGTGCTATAAAGATTGCTCCCTCCATTTTTATTCCTGGGTGGTCATCAGAGGAAAGGCTCCATATCAGGGTTTCTCAGGCTCAGCACTGTGGACATTTGGGGCCAGACAATCCTTTGTTGTGGGATTGTCTGGGCATTGCAGGATGTTTAGCAGCATCCCTGGCTTCTTTCTACCCATGAGATGCCAGTATACCCTCCCCCCACCCCTTGTGACAACCAAAATTGTCTCCAGATTTTGCCAAATGTCCCCAAGGGGGTGGAGGGACAAAATCACCCCAGTTAAGAACCACTGCCCTGGATGATTATCTGGGCCAGTTAGTTTATCAGCGAAACAAAGTATTGATGCTGCAAAATGAGGCCAGAACCATGTTTTCAAGCCTGCCTTGGGCTGTTAGTATCAAAGGGCAGCGTTTACTGAGAGCTTTTCGGGCCCTGGGCTAAGAGCTTCTGTTCTAGACCCAGGCCCACCTCGGAGCAGAACTCAGCACCCTCCACTCTCCCCAAATAGATTCAACTCTCAGAAAGCATTAAAGGAAAATGGGGATATTCCTGAAGATGACCTGAGGAGACAAAGACAAGCCTCTTCCTAAGACTCTTCCTTTGACGTTTCTGTCCTTGACCCCAAAATTCCTCTGCCAGGTCTGGTGGGTAGAGAGGAAAATTCTGCTGTCTTCAGCTCCAGCTCACCCTGCACCCCTCACAAAACCATTACTCCTCCAGCACACCCCATCCCAAGACTCTTATCAAAGTACCCCCCCATCAAAGAAGTTTCTTGCTAACATGGAAGATTTTTCTCCATATTTTTACACCTCCATTCACCTCATTTTTTTAGATGAGGATGCCGAGGGATTGTCCCCAAAATCATACAGCCAAAAAGTGATGGAAGCAGGACTTGGACTCCAGACAGAGAAGGAACATCTGTCAGGGCGCATGATACTTTCACGGGCTCGGAAAAGTGTTTTCGTGTTCACTTCTTTTAAAATCAGAAGAATGTCATTATAAAATATAATTTAAAATTTTTTCATGGAGGAAGGAGCGCATCAAGGCAAAAGTGCCTGGGGTCCCATAAAGTTATCCTGCACCCCGACATTGTGCTCCATTTTTGGTGAGGGTGTAACTGACACACACCTGCTTGATACAGAGCCAGTCTTGGTCCAACTAAGACTGACCTCAATACTGGGGGAAAAAGGTAAAAGTACAGGTCTTAGCTATTATGGG